TTCAAGATGAGGTTGCGGACCGTGAAGCTTGAAATCGTGCAGCACGTAACGGACGAGTTTGCCAAACTGAGGGACTTCATATCTTCCTTGGTGTCCCCGTCCGGTGGCACCTCCATTTCCGCTACAGCTCCAGTCGTGAATGAGCCAACCATTTGGGAATACCCCCATGAAGGTATGACTTTATGTTAATGTAACTTCCACTTACAACATGTCTGCAGAGCAATGTAATTTTTCCTATGTGTTAGCTTACAAATGTATATTTTAAATTGCTAAATTATGTAGATGTAGATGGAGGAGACATGGACCTGCGCCCAGATGACGGTGGTCGTCTTTGCCTACCGGGAACTTGGAGGTGAATGGTACGTCAGTTAATTATGTGTAACACATTTTTGTATTTGATGTCATCTCATCTCGTAATATGCAACTGTATTCAATGTCAAAATGGACAAGTAATTTTTTTTTTTTTGAACTAGACGGGGAAGGCAGCGATGAATGGAGCCCACATGACGACGACGAGGTAGAAGAGGCGGAAATGCAGGAGGTGAACAGTACGTGCGTAATTTTTGTATTTTATGTCATCTCATCTTGCGATATGCGAATACAATTTCACTCGTTCAATAAATTTATCTTTGGTTTCGAGTAGCCAGAGAAGGCAGCGAGAAACGGAGCCGACACGCGACGACCATGCAGACGATGTGAAATGTAGGAGGTGAACTGTACGTGCGTAATTTTTTCCAACTTCTATCATCTCATCTTGTCATATGCATATGTATTCAAATTCACTCCATTAATATTTTCTTGTGTTCCAAGTAGACGGGGAAGGCGGAGAAGAATGGAGCCCACAAGCCGATGATCGTGCAGAGGACGGTGACATGCAGGAGGTGAACGATACGTGCGTTATTTTTTCCAACTTATGTGCTTTGGGTTCTATTACCTTTCACTTTCCCCTATGCAAATGATAATGCATATCTTGTGTTTATTCATTTCACCCAATTTGCTTTCAACTAGACTCAAGAGAGACCGTCCGCACCCTCCCTAGCAACGAGAATGAGGAAGGCCCATCGACCCATGACATCACGAAGGTGGAAGGTACGTGCCTATTATCCTATGTGGTCTCTTTCACACATAATTGTTTCACAAAAATGCTGAAATTGTTTATATGGGTGCTGCCACAGAGTTGCTGGCACAGGTGAGCGTACCAGAAAAGGAAGGCAATGTGGACAGCACAAACCGACGGTGATCGAATAGTGTTCGACGTCCTACACCACCTACCCAGACTCCATACACGAGGGGAAGGCAAAGAGAGTAAAGAAATAAGTGAGTTCAAGTTGTTTAGTAAGATGTGTTGTAGTAGTAGAAACATTCTTCGTAACGAGGACATGCTTTTAATTTGGTTTATTCTATGGACGGATACGGTTGCTCACCCATATGCTATACGTTAAACTGTCTTATGTAAAGTACATATCGTTTTGCGATAATAAATATTTAGTGCAAGCATGGGATGGTATTGTCGGTCAATTTTGTGTGTGTGCGTTGACGACATACTACATTTATTGTTCATAAAATATGCTATACGTTAAACTGTGTTATGTAGGGTACATTTTGTTTTGCGATAATAAAAGTTTAGTACAAGCATGGGATGGTATTGTCGATCCAGTTTGTGTGTAATCGTTGACAAAATAATGCATGTATTCTGGACTCCTTATGAATTTTATAGTCGGCCAAACTACGGCCATCATGAAGCTATTTACCAGTGAAAATGAGCCTCTGTTGGTCTAATGCGATGCCTTCCTTGTCTTGTCTCTTGGCTTCACCATTATATGTATGGCATGTAATGTTTATGATATGTGAAAGGGTTGTTCCTTTTTTGATGATTAGATTGCATGCACGTTTACTACTCCGTAGGTGAGTAAATTTTTTTATTTTTACATTGATTGGATGGATAGTTACGAACATTCTCTGCTATGTCATTTCACTTTAGCAAACACCTGAGGTAGGTAGGACACAGATTCATTCAGAGGGCTGATTTTTGGGTTGAGCACGTGCGTTCATCGAGATGTGATGACGCATTTTTGCAGAATGATGACGAATTTTTGCAGAATACCTGAAGGTATAACTGTGGAGACCATTACATTCTATCACATATGATGTAGTTGATGATCTCAAGGGGGGTTATGAGATTACTTCAATTTCATATTGGGATATGGTTAAGTAGAACGCACATTGAGATAGGACATTTGTTTGTACTTCTAATTAAATTGATGTTCATGCTACTTGATGAAGTAGTAGTATTTTGTACTTTAATTTCATTGGAGTTGAAGGTGTTATACCTGCACAAATGAATCATGGTATGAAATGATCTTGTGTGTAATGGAGCATGGTCGAAGGATGGAGGACAATGATTATTGTAAAATTCACATTAACGTAGTATTAAAAATTCGATGTTATCTTTGCTATGTTGGCCCCAACATTACAATTGGTGTATGTTTATTTCAACATGCATTTTAGTATAAATTAGCTGGTTCGTACAAATTAAAGTGTATTTAAAAAATGGCTTATTGTGTCACCCAATGTTTATCTTCATCGGCAGGGACATTAATTTTATCAATTTTTCATGCAATTCATATGATTTAGAATTTAAAAACGGTATTCAATTGTGACTAAGGACTACAAAAATTCAGTAAAGTAATGTAACTACAAATTGATTGCAGGAATGTTACCATTGCAGGACTTGCACATGGGTACAATTTTCTCATAATTCTCACCGTTTATGGACTGCATTAAAGTACACTTACACCGTTAACCATCACGCTAAACCATCACACCAATGGTCAATCAAGTGTTAAGTAGAAATGAAATGGTGGTTGGTTGTTAAATTGCTTTAAATGTCCTCATATACCTCCAGTATAAAGCATTGCTTGCACTCTTCAAGTGAGATATATGAGACTTTTTCTGAGGCATCTTATAGCAGGAACGTATCATAGTATTTGAAATCTGTTTCTTCATATGAAAACAATGGCATCGTCCACAGGAAGCAATTCACCGCTGGCAGTTCAGGAGCCGTTGCCAAAACCCGCTTCAACCCCGCTACGTCTCATCGTAATTTCTTCAGACGATGAGGAAGTGAGTTCAAATGGTGGTAAGAGAGCCATCATTGTCGTTCCCTTTTCGAACCTGGACAAAGTTGTAAGTGATGAAGGTGAGTCTCCGAGAAATGTGCTTGAATGGGTCATCCCATGTATGGATGCAGACGAAGTTGAACGTTACGAGGATGAGGGACAGGGTCACGTTCCATTGCCCGAGGTAATTGTCATCAGCTCGGATGATGACGGAGGGAAAGAAGGTCCAAGTGTTAGGTCCAAGTGAAGAGTCTGGCTTTGTTGCGTGTGTGCGTTTCTACGTATGTATGTATAGTGCTTTTTTGTAAGAGATGGATTTTGTGATGCTTAACCAATTCTGTAGCATGTAGGAAACTCCCGTTGGTAAGTTATGTGTTTTTTGTATGTTATTAAGCGGAGTGTCGAACAACTGTCAAGAATGGCAGGAACCATCTGTCGAGAACAAAAGATGAACTGTCGGGGTTTACTGGAAAATTTTCTGTGTATGTAGTATGCATATTCATATAACATGTATTTTGGGTGAATGACCACAACCTCATGTGTACATTCAATGTAGTTTGTGAACTTTGCGGACAATGTTATGCGCTAAAAATGATGTGTTAGTAATATACATTTCAAATGAAACTTGTATAATGGTTGAACTTTTCATATTCCGTACATTCAATTTACATGTGTCAACAATGGCAACAATGTTATGCACAACAAAATTGTATTTTGGTTCGAGGCTGTTATGTAGTACGTTGTGGCTATTTGCGTACTGTAAATGTTAACATAACAAAGAGTAATGTTTATGCATAAGAGAATGAAAACAGTAATACAATATTTACATTGTCATATACAAATGACATCGGGAGAACACTTCAGTTAAAACTCCAACCACTCACGTACAAAATGCTGCTTACATTAGACGTGGTACAGTGTGGTTCGAACATGTGGTCCAGTTAAGACTAAGTCCACCGCTGCGAGTGCATTTTCTGAGCCATGTGGTACACTCGTGTCTGGATTGCTTACGTCGTGTGGGTGGTCTACTTGGAGGATGACGCACACTAGGGGGCATAATAGGAGTACCTGTAATTTCGGTTGGAACATTTCAGTCCATTTCACGCAAAACAGGATATATAGCTTCTCCATAGGCACCCTTCGAGTACTCGGATGTGTAATGCAGAGAGTAGAGATTGTACAATGACTTACCTCTCAAGCAAGCAGCACGGGTTGCGTGAACGCACGGCATACGATTCAGATGGAACTCGAGACAAGTGCACGTCTTTTCGGAGAAGTCTACGATATCCGTATCGTTGGATAATCCAACTTGTGTTAAGTTATTTGTCAAGCCATGCGCTCGCAGCCTAGTACTTGCTTCGAACGTCGTTCGTAACTCATTCTCAATCGTTGGTGACAGAATGGTACTGCATGCGGTTGCACTTGCTCGACGTTCATAAAACCACTTCTACATAGTATTTCGAATGTATTCCATTAAGCACGTGATCGGTAATGAACGAGTATGTCTCAACGTTGAGCTTAAAGATTCTGTGTTGTTGTTGGTCAAAATGTTGTACCATTGGCCAAAAAATAGTGCCCGTGACCAAAATGGGAAACCTGCTCACTCCAAGTACCTGTACGCTCTTGCACTAACCATGTGAAGCTGTCTCATAAGTCTTTTAAACTCTTCGGTCCGGTAAGTTCTTGCAGCTCTTTTGAATAGAAATATTGAACTTGCGTTGTTATACCGCTGGATTAAAATTTTTTCATATGTCCAACATAGCACCTGTGGTGAGCCCGAGGAAATAGGTGGGCAATGGCATTTTCAATACTATTTTTTCTGTCCGAAATAAACACCAATTCGTCCGAGTCACCTATAAGATCTTTCAAATTTGATAAAAATCACATCCACGATCTATTTGTTTCGACATCAACGATTCCCCACGCTAACGGATAAATCTGTTTGTTGGCATCTTGGGCAGTTGCTAGTAGAAGGGTACCTTTGTACAGACCTTTCAAGTGACTATCGTCAACACAAATAACGGGCCTCAGGTAGTGCAGGTAACCCCGAATTCTTGCACCGAGAGCTAGGAAAAAGTAGTAAAACATGTTGCGAGAATCTATTTCGATGTGTGTTACTGTCCCCGGGTTACTCTCTCCTAGGACGTGACAGTAGGAAGAGAGTTTTTGAAAGCTATAACCCGATGTACCATGTAGCATATGTAAAGCAGCAACCTTTCCCCTACGTGCTTGGTGGTAACTAATTTTCACACCAAACTCGCGTTCCATGTCACGAGCAATAACGGTAGGATCATACAATCCGTACGTATTATCCAATTTCCCCATAATCTGCTCAGCAATTATGGAACTAGTGCCACTTCGATGTGCATTACGGCGATAATCTATGGAACATGTGTGCACATTGTTGAATTTGCGGATCATGAAGATGGCGGACTGCTTGACACTCGAAGCACGAAACATCCACTTACAATTATCGTCCGCGCATACAACGGTTAACATTTTTAGGCTTGACCTGCTAACCTGAAATTGAAACTTCTCTCGCAAAGCAAGTAGACGAATTCTCAAGTACAATTCTTTCTTGGTAAAACATATTTGCCTTTCGGTAAGATCCGGTGTATTCACAGTGGAAATCCAATCGCATGTATTCGGACTTGTATGTTAATGTTGATTCATCAATTAATATTGCTTGAGCAACATGTTTTAGCGTTGTAAAATGTTGAAGTTACATTAAAGTTCTTAGATAATTGGTTTGCTCTATCAAAGATTGTGCATTTGTAAATAAGAGCTGAAATAAGGAATATGTATGTGCAATTATATATACATATATATATATATATATATATAACATGTCATAAATATTATTACCACTAAGAGACGTCCTTGAAGATTCTACATATTTGCCTTTCGGTAAGATCCGGCGTATTCACAGTGAAAATCCAATCGCATGTATCCGGACTTTTGGAATGTGATAATAGTTCTTCGTCAACGTCAGCAATATTACCAGTATTTGTACCATGTAAGGGATCGTCGAACATCTCATCTAATGGTGCAGTCCCAACATCGAAAATTGGAGTATCCGCTGCATTATTGTTTTGGACACTTTGCTGATGATTGAGCTCATCGTCCTGTACGGTTTGGTGATCTTCCGCTGCGGCGAACAATTGTTGGTTGTAATTTGTATCCCTCTCCATTTCAACACTTAGCAGGTCGGTTTTCAAAGTTGTAACACAGAAGGCAGTTTTCTTATGAACTGATATGTGCCAATTTACGTCTTCATTTTCAAGTATTTCGGTCGACGGTATATTCATGTTCGGAACTTTGAACTTCAATTCCATTTTTGTGCGTGGATCGAAAACACCAAGTTTCTCGTTCAACCGTAACAATAGCCCCGATAGTGTGATACTGCTCGACACTAAAATGGAAGTGATTTTGTCTCCAGTCCACTTCCATTCGTCATTCACGTAAACAAACTTTTCCTCGTGCAACACGATGAATCTCAAATTATTGTTCATACCTGAAATGTTGGGATTGCAACGATAAGAATTATGCGCAATCAAAATGTCGATTATATAATAGCATGGAAGTGACACGTTCCAATATTTAAACCTATGCAATACTACAAGGTCAAATGAAGGGTGTCAAGAATTTTCAACTGTCCAATTCGACAGTTTAATTATCTGTCCCGGCAATTTATAAATGTCTGGTACGACAATTCAAATGTCGATCCCAACAGTTGCAAAATGTCGAGTTCGACGGTTCAAGTGTCGGAACTACTAAGATGCTTCAAATGTGTTTGGTAGCATTAATGCTTATAATTATTTCTTAACTACAACATCACAACCTATTTCCAGAAATAAATGACTGAATGCTTCATTAAATATGGAATACTTCACATTTTTCAAAATATTTTTGGTATGTTTTTCCTTCAAAAATATTAAAAAAAACAAAACCATCATGTTGTTTTTAACATTGTAAAAAAAAAGTAAGCTATTACATAGAAATATAAACAATTCGTAATAACTGGCCTTTCAAGATAGATGAAGAAAACGGATGAAGTAATGTCTTTTTGAGGAAAAAGAAAATGGATGAAGAAGATGAATGAAATAAGGGTTTGTTTGACAATAAATTTGTTTTTTAATGTTAACTAGGGTTTTGAAGGATTTTATATTCATTTTTTATTAACTAAATTCATATTTTACAATATAATATTCATATTTTCAATGATTATAATATACAAATTAAACAATCAAATCACAACATTAATTATTTTGAAAAAAATCATGAAGGAGCATCAAATGCTCCAAAAAAGGTTAAATTAAGGGTAATTTAGACATTTGACAACAAGAAAGTGACATTTTTGTACAAATTGTGTGCACATCAAAGTTTTTTGTGCATTTTCAAAAAAAGTGACATTTTGGTAAATTCCCCAAATAAAAAATTGAAGAAGGTGAACTTTTAATCTTTTAAAAATACTTCAAAAATTGAAGTGTATTTGGTGAAAATGACATTGAAATGTAAAAAGGTAAATTATTATATATATTAGTTAGGTGGTGAAATTTCCTCAAAATGGAAAGGTATGTAAATTGTGGTCTCTCATTGTGAGTTTGACTTTGCTGTGGATTGTTAGCTTGTGTGGGCCCATTTGGTTGTAATTGGATGAAAGTTGGATTTAGATATTTAGGCCCCGTTTGATTGCACGAAATTTTTCATGGAACTTGGAATTCAAATTCCACCTTCCATTTTTTGCCTGTTTGATTGACAAAATTTTCTAGGGAATTGATTTTCCATGAATTTCTAGGTACAACAATTTAAAGCGTGATTTTTCACCTTTTATTTTCTTAGGGGTAGGTGATTTTTGGTTTTTGTTTGGTATTTGGTCCGGTGTATCTGGAATTTGAAATTTGGCATAGTCAATTCTTAGAATTGGTAAGTCAAGTTCAATTGGAATTTGAAATTTGCATTTGTTTGGTTTAGCTGAGATTGTGTAGTTTCGTTGGTTATTTGCAATTCGACATCATCTCTCTACCTTTTGTTTTTCATCGTTGCAGCTTGTTGATATCTTCATGAAGTCTCATCCAGTTTATAGTTTACTCTTTTTGCTTCTCAAACTCTCGTTGCTTCTTACGTAGCATCGTGAGTTTGAATGGGGTGTGTTAATGTAAAAATAGATTAGGTTGAGGATAGTTTAGTCTTTTACTATTTCCTAGTTTTGTAATATATAAACACTTTGTATTTTGTGTATTTGCCCTAAGTTTGGAGGCTGCCCCTTTTCCATTCTTCATAGCCGTTAGGGCCTGCTTGGGAGTTTTTTTTTTCATCGGTTTTAACCGATTTTGGGCATACCGGTTATGGGGTGTTATGAAAACCGGCCATTGGTAGTTTTTTTTGGCACCGATTTTGGGCGGTTTAAGAAATGCCTACTAACGGTGTAGTGTAAATTTGAGGGTGCTCCCAACCCCTTGATTTGGGGGGTTTTGGCCATTTCTCTTTTTTTATTCTAATTTTACCCTTTATAAAATAATCATTTCCAACCAATATATTTTGTTTAAAACTAATTTGTAAATTAAAATATATTAACTAAAAAATATATATAATTTAAAAAATTATATTATTATTAAAATATTACTTGTAAGATAAAAAAAAATATATTTAATCAAAAGTTAATTATAAGTAAAAAAAATCGTTTTTATGTAAAAAAATTACTAAGAAATAAAAATACTACTAATAAAACAAAAAATATTTATAAAATGTAAAAAATTATTTATAAAAAAAATTTACATAAAGTTATTTAAAAGAAAAAAATTAAATTATATAATTTAAAAGTTACTTATAAATAAAAATATTAACTTAAAATTTTAAGTGAATATTTAAATTTTTATTTAATTTTTAAAATTACATTTTAATTTTTATGAAAAAAATTATCTATAAGTAAAATATCACTTATGAGTAAAACAAATTAATATAAAAGAAAACTTTACTAAAGAAATATATGTAATCTTATCCTTTTAAAAAAACTTTCACAACTGATGGATACTAAACTTTCAATCGTGGGTTGGGGGATTTTAAAAAACGCTACTAAAACCGCTCAAAACCACTCCACTCATAACCGCTACTTTAAAAAAACGCCCATAACCGCTACGGTGAAACTTCCAAGCAGGCCTTTAGTTTCCTCTTTTGATAGTTTCTCCTTTGTTATCTTTGGTTTATTATTTTCTACAAGTTTGTGCTTGCTAAGGACTCGTTTTGAGTCCACAATTTCCACGCAGTTTGGATCCGTACCCTCAACTAATGGTGTCAGAGTCTTCCCCACTGGTTTCAGATTCCTAAATCTTAGAATTGACGATGCAAGATTATTCTTGTTCCTCCGAAGGCGACCTGGACTCTTTGAGCGTGGTCTTGAGGAAGATAAACCTCGTACAATACCCTCCTTTAAACTTGAAAGGAACCCTTGTTTTTTCTCAATATCCCAACCCTGAAACTCATAAATATGAAGCTAAATAACGTAATTATTGCAATTTTGAGTCAGCACGGGCGCGGACCATCGGTCCAATAAAATATGAGGAAATTAGGCCTACTACCTCAAAAAATCTAAGTACTAGATTAATACTCTAAAAATAAATCAAAATATTATTACCGTATTAATTACTTCCAAAACATCAACAATAATATCACCCAAAATAGAAATCCAAATCAGAGAGGAGAACTATTTGAATCAGAAAATTCCAATACCCTAAACCCTCCCCCACTCCTCAACAGCAGTGATTTCCTATGCGAGAAACTTCATCCGACTCAACTTTTCGATCTGTCTTTGTCGACTCCTTTTCAACTCTCAACCACAGATTTCGAATGTTTTGGTATAGTGTCTTGGCCATTTTTATGGAGTTTTATTTTTTAGGAAAATGTGTAATTAGTATTTGCTTAATTCTTTATATTTCAAGGTTTTTTATGCCGAAGATTGAACAATGAATTGCTTGGGAGAAATAATATTACTTCGGTATATTTCGTGGAATTGAAGCGGAGGCATTTCTTTGTTTTTAAACTAAAAATGTTATAAGTATTTGGATTTGAATATAGTAGCTTCAAATTGTTGAAATGCTGTGTCTATTTCCGTATCATTAATTGATGAAATTATTTTTGATTTTGAACTTCAACTGCTGGTTTTTTAAGTTGCTGAACATGGTGTCCCAGCTAACTGGCCAACATAAATTGGAGGGGTCATATTTACTCGTGGAAGATATGGGGAAAATTACTGGGGGAAGTGACGTGCAAATACTTCGTGGGGATTTATGTTATCAAGTTCAGCTCCTAGTGGCTAGACCTCTGTGGTTGGATTTGGGAATGGCTTGATAAAGGATAGACTCTATAATGAGTATTTATGAAATTTTGTGACATTTACATCTTAATTTAGTCATCAATTTTCGTTAGTTGTGAGCTTATTGCAAACTTGGTTGCATTTAAATTTTTGGATTATGATTATATCGTTCAAGTTGTCAATTCAA